CATTTGTTTTCTAGAATCTAATTGTTGATTATGCTACCTGCTTTCCTATACTGTATCCCATTTAATATATAGTTGTGCAAATACAGCTTATTAAGGTAGTGGCATATACCATGTATAGTGACATACTAAAAAACAGTGGAACTTGACTCTTAAATTGATGAGAAAATCCCATTCATTTTCGTTAGTATTCTTATTTTATGCAAACTTTCTTGTTTTAACTGGATATTAAAACTGAAGTGATAAAACCCCCAGAAAAATAATGAATCACCCAAATTACATGCTGAAGTCTGTTATTCTGACATTTTCCTGAATGAATATTGAAATGCTTAGCAAAAAAAGATCTTGAAGTTCCTCCATCAGTAATCACATCCAGACTTCACTTGAAAAAAATTCTTTTTATATTTAGTTACAAAAAGCATGCTCTTAATTATAATGATGTTCATTAAAATAAATGCTTTGAAAGATTACTATTTTCAATTCAAAGGCACTTCAAATAACATATGAAAACCGACGTAATCTAAGGTAAATCTATCCTGGAATAATATTAGACAGAAAAACACACCAATTGAATGTATATGATATATATGTACATCTATATGTGTGTATGTGTGCCTTTTTTCAGAGAATTGAGAGGTTTGGTTCTGTCTTCTATTTTTTGGCACATATATAGAAAGTGTAAGAAGTGGTTTAATTTGATGAAATCAAACATTCAATGAAAACAAAAGCGTTAGCTCTGAAATAAGATATCAATTTTACAGGGCTCTAGATCCTTTGAACTTGGATGACATTGTCTCTGAGGACAAGATGTTTGACGAATTTTGGACTTTAAAGCCTTTAGCAGGAAAAATTAGTCCAGAATCTGTTCCTATAGGATGGAAAAAAAAATTCATTCGCTCTTCAAAAGATCAGGAAAAAATTTATGTCATTTTCTATTTCTGTTATAAATATAAGCATTTCCAGATGCTTATATTTCTGATATAAGCATCTGAAGAAAAGTGCCTTTCCTTCAGATGCTTGTATTGGAAGAAGTTCAACATCCATTAATTTAGGGCTTATACTCTGAGAGATCTGGGCATTTACGTATTCTCTGCATAGAATATTGAGGAGAAAAAAAAATCCCAAAACCTTAGATTATAAGGATAAAGGGATCTATGGGTAAGATGGTCTTACAAAGCATTGCTGGCTAATTTTAATCTATTAATTTAATATAATGAACATAATGATTTGTGTAAAATTACTTTACCCCTGTTATATGTCAAATCTGTTAGGAACAGCTGCCTTGCATTCAGTATATCATAATGACATACACTTTGGAGTTACAATGTTTAAATTTTTTTTTTGTTAAGGTCCTGTTTTAAGTTTGCAAGCTTGTGCACAAGGGGCAAAGGCCTGGTGTGGTGCCTCCATCACACTGTCACTGTTAAAGGCTATCAAAAAGAACGTGTGGCTCTGTGAAGAAGAGAGTAATAAGTGCAAGCTGGTTTTGCAGACCCTGTTCCAAATGAAGAATAAACCAGGATTAAAAAGTTTCCTGAGAAGATTTTTCCCAAAGGCCTAATTTTTAAAGCTTTTTTGATCAAAAGAGCTAGAAGGGTCATGATAACTGGAGCTTGAAATAAAGGTGAAATTGATAACACAGGTGAGGAGGTGGACTAAAGGGACTATAACACTAATAAACTATAACTAATAAACACAGAGGCTGCAGCAGAAATGTAGTTCTGCTAACATTCTGCCTATGTGCATGACCAAGGAGCAGAGGCTGCTACCTAAAGAGCCACATCTAACATCTTAGACTCCCTCTCTCCCGCTTTCTAAATCCAAAATACTCCTAAAAACCAAAAAATATTCCCTAACCCTAAATAACACTTGCCTTTTCAACTGCTAATGATACACTTTGTCCTACTGCAGAGCTTATCTGGAGTAATAGAAATAATGGATCTGGATGAATGCTTTTCATAGCTCAGAAGGTATAACTCTGCCTGGTAAGAAATTAGAGTCATAATATTTTGCTAAATATCCCCCATCATCATGCAAGAGTAGAGATGTAAAACATGGCACTAGGCATCTGTTAGCATAGTGTAAAGGCGATTCTTCCATGATAACCTGTGTAAGTTACTACAGCATCAGAATATGACAGTGCTGTTCACCTGCTTTAGGAGAGCCCCTATTAAGTTTGACAGAATAAAAGGGAGCTCATAGTAGCAAGACTACAAGCATGAACCAGAGGAAAGAGGAGGAAAGAGTGGTCTTGAGAAACAAGGGAAAAGGAACTATATGACTTCAGAGACCACAGACTATAAAAATTAGAAGGAACTGAAAAACTGGAACAATCTCAAAAGCTATAGTATAAGGGTAATCAGTGTTCTATTTTTGCCTGCTTCCAGCAAGCTGAAATTAAATGTATTTGTTCTTACATGTTGGAGTGGTCTAAGTAAAGACCTCCTTTATTATCTGTAGATGGTTGCTGTGAAGAAGGCTTCCAAGAAGTGCAACCAACCAACATATCTAAAACCCAGCCTGGTGGTTATCAATTGCACTGATGGTGCGTTTATTTCTTTTTAATTTTCCTTCCACAAATCTGGATACTCCCATACACCAATAATCAGTAAGATTTCCTGACGTCTTCCAGGTCATATGAGAATGCTCAACAGCAATTGCCTCTCAGGAGGAGGGAGCTAGGAAAAGAGCAACTGAGTATAGCCGTGCACAAAACAGAAGTATTCTTGTATATCATGGGAAAATAAAAAAATAGGAAGTGATTGGAATTGTTTAATTCAACTAACTGCTTCATGTCTTTGATAATCTGTTGTTTTGTTTTGTTTTCTTGGTCCATTTCAGCCAACATAGTCTCCCCTGAAAGCATCTGCACACAAGAGAGGCAGAGAAGTTTTATTTCCTGCATCTTTCTACTGTTTTTTATTGACTTTTTATCTTCTGGCACAGCTGCCAGGGCAACTTTGACTCATACTGCAATGGCAGCATTGGACCAGCAGAGCAAGAGCAGAGCCTACCACATGCTTAAAAGCTGTATTAGGAAGAGACAAGCAATGACTCTAGTAATTTTTATTTCCACTAGATTCGATGGGGGCCACACTATTTTTGTGAATGCCTTGTGTTGCTGTATGCTTATTGTTATCTATTTTGTGAATGTGGAATTTGATACTGTAGAAATGAGCCTTTTCTTCCTCAAAGACTGAAGTAAAAGAAGAGAGAATATCCTGGAACACGTCAGCTCTTTTCTGCATTCATCCTCAGTGTGGGATTTTACAGGACTTTGAACTTTTCCTACTGTTATTCACCATGTAGCTGAAGCTTTTTTAATAGAGGTAGAAACAACACTGTCTGGAGTATCATTTTTATTCTAAGGACAGACACTTCCTTTACTGTGAAAACATTGACAGCTTTTGGAGCAGGATTTTAAGGAAGATTTTGCTAGCACCACTTTGTGACTGACTTGATCACGGGTGCATAGATTAAGATATTGTCACCGAAGTGCATGACTCATTTCTCTTTTTAAAGTCCGTTACTGTGTGATGTAAAATCACCTTTTTGGCAGTTTGGTATTGTAGTACTTTTAGCACTTGGAGGCCTAACACTCCAGAAAATGCATTTACACTGCATTTAAAGCTTGCATGTAACTAAATCCTGTCAAGGAAAGTCTTTACATAATGCATTGACATATGCTGGGGGTTTGTCTCTTTCTTAGTACTGCATAGCTATACAATGAGCTGAAGTGGCTTTTCTAAATCATTAAAAGTAACCCTAGACAAGTCTGGCCCTTAAAATAAGTGTCAGGATTCTTAAAACACTTGGGAAAAAGAAAAAAGGACCAGTTTGGATTTACGTAGAACTTTCATACCTACTTGTTGTTATTAACTTCAGTGTCCTCTTATGTTAGCCAACATTACTGCTGAAGAATCTCTAAATTCCCATTTTCTGTCATGTCTGAAAATTTTAAAAATTGTATCTTTTGCACTTTTAAAATTGTGGTAAGTGAAATGGATTTTTTTTAGGGTGAAAATCAATTGAGAGTAAAAGGTTTTGGAAGATGATATCAGAATATTTGTAATGCATCTTATGGTTGAGAGAGGTTGGTAAATTTAGCCATTACTGTATACTGACGTTGACATTTACATACAGGCTCCTATATAAAAACTGGTTATTGCCCAAGGAGGTGATATTAGAGACTGTTGTAACTCGGGCTATAAGCTATTTGAGATGTTACCTGGCTATGTGCATGGCTTTCTTGATACACAAGAATGAGCTCCTAGAAATGTTTTCCTGGGATTAAATATTCAAAGCCCATATAGCAAAAGAGAATGGCTACTGACTGGACATCAGTTCTCTGAGCAAACAACTGCTCTGAACAAGAGAATGAATTACTGTCCATGCAGACATAATTCTTTGTCCTCCTTTTTTTAATATAAACCTCTACAAATATGAAAAATAGATTTTCTATGGTGAGGAATGTGGGCAATAATACATTATTTCTTCATTATTACACAGTCTTCTGGGTTCTCTGGTTTTTTTTTCCCAGTGAAATGCAAAGTTTTGGAACTTCATCCATTTTCATTAATAAAAAAATATTTTCTTCTGGAAGTAGCCATTGGATGTACAATTGTTCTTCCAGGCTTGTGTCTGCATGCTGTCCAGGTTTGTATTGTCTTTTATGGCTTGATTTTCCCACTGAATTAGATTTGCCACTGGGTGTCAGCTATATAAGCCAGACTGTGAGCTGCCTGTCAGTTATGCCAACGGAGAGTAAAAGCTGAACAAGGCAAAATGAAAAAAGTAAAGTTTTCTTTCCCCCTTGGGGACTGGTGGTCCAGAACAAGTTGTGGGATCACTGTTTATGCACTTGATGAAACTTACGATACTTCTTGAATTTTTTTATAAGAGAGCTGGTAACAGCTGCTGGGCGTTCAGCACCCTCAGTCAACAGTGATTTTTAAAACTGCTGGTTTAGCCTTAATGCTCTGAGCTCTCAGTTGTGAGATGTGGAAATCTGGATGCTCACCAACTTGATGACATGCCTCATAAGCAATGACGCCATGAGTCACTGAAATAGGGATGAGAAATCTGAGCTTCAGAAATGATGCTCCATCTTTAACTTGCACAGCAAACATTCAAAGACCAACCTGCTGAGCAGCAATCTGTTCCAGGTAACGTCTATGTGTCTTCTGCTTCCTGTTTAGTTTTACTCAGATTAAATGAGCTCTTAGATTTTACTAAAATGGTTATTTTGCACGTCTAAAGTATTTTCAGCCTTACAGAGATTGCACAGGAAGCTTGTGCTGCATAAGTTTAAGCAATATGCAAAGCTGCCATCATCCTTTTATAGAATTTTGTCACTACTGACATACTGTCAAATGGATGCAAAGGAAATCAGACAGAGTATGCAATTTGACATGAAATGTTAGGTGTACAGTGAAAGACATTTTCGTGAAAAATGTCACGTCTCTGATAATCTAGGTTTTGGACAAGGTAACGTAGGCAAGTTCAGCTGCAGTATTTTACAGGTTTCCTGATAGCTTCTTCACATTCTAGTGTTGAAGTTGTGTTGGTCACACCATTCACAGATATTCTGTAATTGTAAAATGCTTTTTGGCTATTTTGTTTGAAGAAAATCTGAAGACCACATGGCTACAATAGATTTATCAATTAAAATTAATTCTATATAGCAAAATTTCTTGAAATATATATATCTTTTTAAAAGAGCTAGCAATTAGTGCTGTTGCAGGTTCTTTAAGCCCTAGCAGTTGCTAATTTATAGAAAAGCACAGTATAGCTTTCTCACACCTGAGAGAAACAACTTATCACCATTCATATGCAACATTCACTTTTTGTTCCAAAAGTCGATCTTCAACGTACATTGATAAAATTCAGTGCCTACAAAGAAGCAATATTTAGTTTAGTTTGTTATTAAGTTTATTTATTTATTTTAGTTTAGCTCTCCTGTCTGTACATGTCTCTTGGCAAACGTTTGGGAACAAGGATGATCTTGGTTTTGGCTTTGTATGGCTTTTAGCATAATTGGATCTTTGGCCATGAAATGAAGGTTGTAGAAGTTACTACAAAATCAATAATAATAATGTAAGGGTCACTCTACAGCTTAATAGCTCTGCCATTCCCTCAGCAGTGTTACGTTCCTCTGAAGGTCTTCTTTCCCATGGGCTTCAGTAAGTGCATGAACAGTACTAAAGCTGTTCTCTAAAGGAACTTTCTTACATCTTTTTCTTTTTTTTTTTTTTTTTATGCACTAGGAAATGATCTGCCTGCAAATCAGTCTTCCCTTTGCAGCCTTGTAAAATTTGTCACAATCCCTTCCTAAGCTCCAATCCAGCCTCAGCCCCAGCTTTTATTTTCTAACTACCTCTGCTATTTCTCCATGGGATGTTCTGCAGATCCTCCTTTAAGACACCCGAAGATTTTCTTGCTGTCATCTGCACTGATGGGGCATATCTTCTTAAGGAACACTGTCGGCAACCCCTGTCAAGAAGGTTCATTTTACTTTTTTACTTCACTGTTGGGACTAATCCTTAAACACCAGGATGGCCTTGATTTTTATCCATTTTTCAGGATGCCTTTTTTATTGTGGGAGACAACCAAAAAGAGATCCCCCTATTCTGCCCAAAAACCAACAGAAGGCTTGGCAGCCTGATCAGCACTGTGGTGGTTCTCATGCACACAACACACCCACCCTGGCCTGCAAGCGAACTCCTGCTGCATTGGGAAGATGAGCCCTTGTTTTGTAATTCAAGTTAGAAATATCAGAAAGATACTATTGCTGCTTCCTGAAAAAAAAAAAAAAAAGATGGGGGAAGACGGAAGACACTGGTGAAGGCATATGCAAGGAGGCTGCTTTTCTGGAGCCCCAGAGATGCAGAGGTGCGCCTGACTCTGCTGGTTCTCTGGGTTCCCCGGGTTCCCCATACCTGAGAGGGACCATTGTAGTGTGAGATGCTGCAGGAAGTGAAGTGAGGCAGCAGCTGTGTCTGCCTGTGATTCTCCAGAGGTTGCTTCATGGAGAAGTGTTGAAACAGAAAACCAAAGAAACAGAAGTATTTATCTGGGCAGCTTTCACTGGGCAGTAACATAGCTCAGGGTTTTTTTAATAGTAACTTTCTTTGATGATTGGCCAGAATTTGCTATTTTATAAATCTAAAGAAACAGTGTGGTATCACGTTTACTAAAGCTATATTTCAAAACAACAAAGCAGAGTTTTTGCAAGCTATTTATTTCAGTGCTCAAAGAGTTCATTGAGGTAAGAAAGGGGAATTAGCCTTGAGGGTTAGAATCATAATTCCTTTCAGCATTTCCTGTCAAAACTCATGTTTACCTTCTGCTAAAACTAGCCTTCTATGTTTATTGCAATTTTAACAGAGAAGTTGCTTTCCTACTTTAAACTTTGGCTTTTTATCTAGTCTGGAAGAATTTTGCACTAAACCTGGGTGTAAGTCACTCACTGGTGAGATGGTTAACTTCTGCCGTTGCAGGAAGTGGTTTTATTTTACTTTTTTTTTTCTTGCTTTCTTTCTGTCTTTATGAGCTGTGGGAGATTAACCCAAATGCTGTCTATAGACATGTGACCTAGATGTTTTCCGTTTTTTGAAATAGTTTAAACTGTTGCTGGTTGATGGCAGTTTGAGATGAAATGACGACATCCATGTGGCTGTAGGTAAGGAGCCTTAAATTTATCTTAATGCAGTTCAGAAAGCCTGTTAAAGACTTTTAAAATGATCGTAATTGCAGGTGTTTTGTATGCATTCAATATGGAATATGTTACTTACACAATTATTTCTATTGGCATTTTTGAATTTGAAAGCAATGAACATAAAAGTAGAGGGTATAGATGTGGAATGATGTTTTAAAGTCAACATTAATATTCAGAATCTAGCAAGTCTGCCTGATCCTGTGCAAGAGGCAACTGTATCTGACCCTCTCTAGTATCCCAAACCACTAATGACTTCTCATATCCCTATGGTACTAACTAGTTGTCCTCAGAAGGTAGTAAAGGCTGATAGCACTGGCTGGAAAATTAGATTAATCACTTTTCCTACCATTTGCCTTTAGCACTTGCAGTTCAGCACTGTTTGATTAATTGAGTTCCTCTGCTGTTTGTTACCATGAGGGAGGTGACTGGTAGAAAAGGATACTGTAAGAGTTAGTGAGTGGGAAGGGTAGGTATCTGTTTGATACTCAATATCACTCAAGACAGAAGAGATCAGTAGAGGGATCTCTTCCCTGCTCTATGTCAAAAAGTTTTGTACCACTTTATCAGTGGTGCTAGTAGCAATCAGACATGGAGTGTCATAAACGATATTGTACAGAAAACATCCTTGTTTTATCTATGGGTACTCTCAGTGCTGTTCTTCTTGGAGCTGTTCAAAGGAGGTATCATGGTAGCACGGTTACTGCATGAGGCTGTTCATTTCCAGACTATTTCCTCCTCTCCTTCAGAGCTGGGAAGAAAAAGGTTGTGTCCTGAGTCCCCACCTTACTCAAAGCTTTCTATCAGAAAAGGTCACTTTTCATTGCTGTCAGTAGGCAAACACTGCTTTCTGGCCTTCAGAGCTTTACAAGGAAATAGTAATGTAGAAAGATGTTCAAATAACACAATACAATGCTTTGATTACGTGCCACGTAAAGGAAAGACAAAATTAGCACTATTTGTTCTATGGTGAAGATTTGTTTTCCTGGTAATTTGTAGTTTGCTGCAAACTTTGTGACATGTACTCATGTTTGTAACTGATAGCCTTATCGTAAGAAAGAACTTGTTTTTCTGTTGGAAATATGGATCAGAGTTGAAAGATATCACATGTGGCTGGAAGCTCATTTTGAAATCATGCATGCTAATTGGAGACAGATTTTAGTGTAGTGTTGTAAGATTACATTTCAAAATTTCTGTAATTTTTGGAGAAAAAAATCTGTCCTGCCTGCATATACAAATCAGCACAGACAGGGAAATTTTATAAAAAGAACATGTTCTCTTTCTGGGCTGTGTTTGTAGTCGTTTTTATGTTACTGCTACAATGTCTTAGAGTAATTTGAAATGCATTTTCCACAAAGCTGTGAGATTTAGTAAAGTAGTTTGAATTCTTAGAGTTATTTTTCTTTATTTCTCCCTTCCCTGCAATTTACCTCTCTGTGTCCAAAGAAAACCCGACATCTCTCATTCACTGTACCTCTCAATCAAATTACATCTGTAATGTACATTTGTTCATTTTCTTTTCCAAATAGAGTAAACAGTTGAAGCACTCTCTGTATTTTAAAGCTCCTGCTGTACACTATTGTTGAATTATAAAAATCTTAGCCTTTTTGGCAGCATTTGTTGTAGAAATTTCCCTTTGCTTTGATACAAGAGACACCCTAGCCTGAGAGAGATATTTCACTTTTTTCTGATCCAAGCATAATTGTATGACCCTTTCACCAGGGCTCGGATTGCCAAGGTAGCAATTACGACATCTGAGTCAGATGGTCTCGTGCATGTTCCTCCCTACCTGAAGCAAGGCAGGAACCAGAAACTAAAATGGTGACAGAGACACATTTAGACTCTTGTCCCAATTTTTTGGTAGCACAATGCTACAATCTCAGACATGGTGCTAGCTTAACTAAAGCAACTGTACGCTGTTCTGGTTTGGACTTCTCTATCTAGCTCTGGTCCCAGAAGTTATTGCTTCTTTGCAATGCTGAGCTTCAGGCAAGGCTCTAAAAAGTAGTACTCCATACAAGCGAGATGAAGCATCCATCATGACCTCTAGTGCTGTAGTGAGGATGGCTTTTACTATGTTGCTCAGAGGCTTTGGTCTTGTTCTCTGCTAAGCAGTCCCACAGACTTTGAGCAGTGTGAACTGTTTTATTATGGCCCATTTCACATGCAGCTTAGTGGGTTATAAGCAGCATCTTCTATTTTTTTTTTATGCTCACAATGTGTAACTCTGATACTTGCCTAGTTTTCATGACTTTTTTTTTATGTCTTTGTGCTGCATCAGCTCAATCAGTGTGAGTTGCTAACCATTTAATGAGTTCTTAAATGCTGCATACTGATAAAAGCTATCTCTTGGTACTGGGGAAGTCTGTTAGCGCTTAGGTGTAGTTTTAATTAAAAATCTGAAACATGGCATTTTGTACAGAATGTATCCTAATTGTGTTTAGGTGTTGTTTGGGCTGATCTCTTAAAGACAAAACACAGCAACACTTGAGCTCTAGCTAAAGTCTCTACGCTTCACTTTTCTCCTAAGACTTCCACATGAATACATCAAACCTATTTCTCGGCGCTACAAAGATAGAACCTGGTATTGATGGATACCATCTCCATGAAGATGCTTTGATCCTTTGTCTGGTTTCACTGTCGATAACATTAGTCCTGAAGAAAACAAATGGGATAAAATTTTGAGCCAGCTTTTGAGTGTGCATCTTCTATGATAATTCAAGTGTCATTTAGAGCACAACAGCAGATTTCTTTATCTGGATGCACAACTTGCACAAAACTGTTGCTTTTTTTTCCACCTACTGGTGTTTGTAACAACTTTTGTCACCATCAAACTAATTGTTTTAATGTCCTCTTAGTCTCAGAGTAAGCTGAAGTCCCTGCTGCCTTCAGCTGGCTCACAACAGCATGCAGCCCTGTTGAGTGTGCATTTGGGAACCTGTGAACTTGGTGTAGGTCAGGAGGCCTTCTGAAACGTTCTTACAAGCTTGGTCTGCTTCAGCCAGTGATCTCAATGAATTTTAATTTCACCAACTGCTCACTTATTGACATCTGAAGGACAGAGGTGGTTGTTTCTTTGCTGCGCTGGATGTTAAGATTGTACTTCATGCACTTGACATGCCTCTGTCAATCTTCCCTGTTTTGAGAAATACTATAAAAAGGTTGCTTTGGAGACTTTCTACAAAACAAACACTGCTAGCTCCTTATTTGCAGAGGGACTTCCTCAATACGGATCTATTTAAGAGTGAGACCTTAAATAGACCTCTGTAGACTCCCATCATCTTTATTTTAGCTTGAAATACCTTGGAGTGCAAACTTGCAGGCTGGCTGACATAGGAGTAAAAGAAATACTATTGGATCTTTTTTTTAAGAAAGCTGTCTGAATGAGAAAAGCAGGCATTAATATTCTGGGCATAGGCGTTTAGGTATTGCAAACTGACCACGGGGCAAATCTAACTCATGCTAGAGCTCAGTCTGTGGATGCATCCAAGTCATGCTAGAGCAGATTTTCAGTGCCTTATTGGCTCATGCTGAAAATCTCTAGAAGTATTGCAGTCTGCATGTGTAAAGTCAGTCCTGTTTACCAGCGACTAAGAACCCAGAATTCATAGATGATAGAAAATTTTGGCTTTTTTGTCTTCATTTGTATTTCGATTCACTTTACTTAGCATAAGAAAGAAGTGTTTTGAAAATTGTGTAAGAAAAATATGAGAGAGTTAAACAGATATTGGTTTTCTTCAGATTAGCTTCTAAATTTCTGGGTGTATGTATAAGTTACGCAGTAAAATGCTAACTCAACAGTGCACAGATACCTACTGAAGGATATCCAATAAATTAACTAAACAAGTTTGATATTGTTACGATTAGTGGTTCAAGGTTGTTTAAAACACAGTACAACACTTCCTGCCATTTGAGATTGACAGGTATTAAATCATTCACTTGTAGTTAAGATGGGTATTGTGGGTTTGTACTGTGGTTTTTCATGAATATTTCTTCCAAAGCCTGTGCCTGATATGCTAAACAGGCAAAGACCTTGAAAAAATGAACTTAAAATGACTTCTGATTCCTTCTCCAAAACATACACCACTTTTCAGCACAACTGCAACATGATAAGAGGGGAAAGGGAGACAAGGATGAAGAAAAAAACAGAAGTGAATGTGACTTACGAGCTGAAAAGATGTTCTTTAAGTACGGGCTTGCTCTCTGTTTCTTAATTCTTTTCCTGCCACACCCTGAGCAAAGCCACCACTATATTTGGTTCTGAACCAGATATCAAAGCTCCTCCTAGGCAAGGCATAGTGCTTAGCACCTGAATTTGTTTGCTTCTCAGGATGTTACTAAATTCTCTTCCGTTGTGGTTGAGGAGGGAAATGACACAGATATTTTGTGAAGACAATTGAAGCTCTGGAGTTCTGTCTCCAAGAGAGTCACTTCCATGGCTGGCAGGTCTGTCACCAGCTTGCTGGGTTTCAGGATGTTCTCACCACTGCAGCTGAGGAAGCATCTGCTGCTGAGCTGGCCTGATGTCTGCTTAGGACAGTGGTGTTGGAAGAACTGAATGGTCAACACTTGGAAGCATGTGTCACTGGTTGGGGGATCCCCAGCCCACATGATGATGCTGACCAGAGCCAAATTCCCACACACACTGCAGGAGAGCCTGGTGGTAACACCATGGACACCCACAGGAAACACCAACAGAGCCCTCCATGGGCTCAGTCAGGCAAAATGCATTTCTAATGAATGTCATTGACTTTGCTACAACATTTTCCACTAGGAAGGTGTTACATCAGACTTGCCAAATGGCCAGGATGCTCTGACACATGCTGCCTTTTGTGTTTTGGGCTCAGTAGTGCTGAGGCTTGATCCAGAAAAATTAATATTTGTATTATCAGAAATACATTGCATGCTTGGCTACTTTATTAGAAAAAAAAAGCAAATGATAGTAATCAGTAGCAATGAGTAATCAA